TGCTCAAATGTGGAAAAGATATTTATACTGTATAAGTACTGTAGTTCCTAGGTAAGCTCAAGTGTGCCTCAGATCGTTTTTGCTGCTCCTACAACACACCCCTGTCCTTATGCCCTTGTTCCTATGTGATTAGACTGAGCAAGGGCCCTACTCTGGCCTTTCACAGCTCCGGACAGGACTTCTCCTTTTAGCCAACAAGTCTTTCACTATCCTCAAGTTCCGGCTGCTGTCCAGCTACCATACATGATGGACCATATTGTACCAAGTTGATTTCCCAAAGTGTACCTCAGCTGTCTATGTGAACTAAATAGCCAGGCTCCTGGGGAGGGAGAGGCAGGCGTGTGAACAGTTGCTAATGTTGGGTTGTAAACTTTGTGCTCCTTGTTCTTTATCGCAGGTCTACAAACAATCTCACCCTGGCCTAATTCTCCCATCTCTATTTTACCTATTATCCTGTGACTCCACAATATTTAATTTCTCGCTTTGCCTCAGGTTCCAGAATCCACGCCTTAACAAATTAAGGATAGTTTCCTGTAGCACTGAGAAAAGAACTTTTGTTTCAAAATTGTGGTGGATGACAAAATCACCACACACACAAAATAGGGGTTAATTGAAGGGGGCAACATTTAAAAACAAACAAAAAAGAGGTTTACTATAGAGTAGACAATTAGCAACATTAGAGCTGCCTTCATTTTATCCCTGCTGAAACTTGTGGAGATTCTAAGTTCTCACTATTCAAATAAATCACTGCTACTGTCCCACAATAAGTCAGATCAGCCCAGATCTGTTGTGAGGAAAAAATACTGTCAAAATCATGGGTATGCAAACTAAGGCCTGGGGGCTGGATCCAGCCCAATCGCCTTCTAAATCCAGCCTGCGGACAGTCTGGGAATCAGCGTGTTTTTACATAGAATCATAGAATCATAGAATCATAGAGTTGGAAGAGACCACAAGGGCCATCGAGTCCAACCCCCTGCCAAGCAGGAAACACCATCAGACCACTCCTGACATATGGTTGTCAAGCCTCTGCTTAAAGACCTCCAAAGAAGGAGACTCCACCACACTCCTTGGCAGCAAATTCCACTGTCGAACAGCTCTTACTGTCAGGAAGTTCTTCCTAATGTTTAGGTGGAATCTTCTTTCTTGTAGTTTGGATCCATTGCTCCGTGTCCGCTTCTCTGGAGCAGCAGAAAACAACATTTCTCCCTCCTCTATATGACATCCTTTTATATATTTGAACATGGCTATCATATCACCCCTTAACCTCCTCTTCCCAGGCTAAACATGCCCAGCTCCCTTAGCCGTTCCTCATAAGGCATCGTTTCCAGGCCTTTGACCATTTTGGTTGCCCTCCTCTGGACACGTTCCAGTTTGTCAGTGTCCTTCTTGAACTGTGGTGCCCAGAACTGGACACAGTACTCCAGGTGAGGTCTGACCAGAGCAGAATACAGTGGCACTATTACTTCCCTTGATCTAGATGCTATACTCCTATTGATGCAGCCCAGAATTGCATTGGCTTTTTTAGCTGCCGCGTCACACTGTTGGCTCATGTCAAGTTTGTGGTCAACCAAGACTCCTAGATCCTTTTCACATGTACAGCTCTCAAGCCAGGTGTCACCCATCTTGTATTTGTGCCTCTCATTTTTTTTTGCCCAAGTGCAAAAGTACATGAGTAGAATGTGTGCTTTTATTTAAAATGCATCTCTGGGTTATTTGTGGGGCATAGGAATTCGTTCATTTCCCCCCAAAAAAATATATTTCGGCCCCCCACAAGGTGCTGGAAAAGTTTGCTGACACCTGGTCAAAATCCTTGGTTCCTTTGGTTCGCTCAGGCACAAGTCTCCTGCTTCTATCAGCTCCCAGCTCATCCCTTCTGCTGACTGCTCCTCAGTGTCCCACCACCAGGCTCTGGGCTCTAAGGTGAAGTCTTCAGAGCCCTCCCTGGTGGGGGCTCTTGGGAGGCAGCCTTCCATCACTCTTCTTAATCAAGCCAGTCCCTGACATGCTTCACACGTGCCAGGAGAAAGAGAAGAGCCCAGTTACGGACCACCAGAGCTAGAACAACCTTCACAGTGATGCTCTAGGTGCTGCCCTCTGTGAGAAAGAGAATGAATGGCTTGTGGGTGAATGGTGTGAGCGCTTGGCTGCATGCCTCCATGTGTGTGCCATTTGTGTAAATGGATGAGAGAGGACAAGAGAATGGGTGGATGAATGGGAATAATGCTGGTGTCGAGTGTATGTGGATGGATGGATGGGAGATGTTTGTGTGGAAGAAAGTGAATGAATGAATGTATGAAGAAGAAGAAGAAGAAGAAGAAGAAGAAGAAGAAGAAGAAGAAGAGAGAGAAAGGGGTTGCACCCTCAAGGGAATGCATTCATTAACTTCAAAAAGATTACTCACCCCTGCTCTAATGCCTACTCTCCAACATTTCTCCAATGAAAATAGGGATGTTCTATTCCATTAACAATTATTATTAATTATTATTATTATTATTATTATTATTATTATTATTATTAATAATACCACGTCCATCTGACTAGGTTGCCCCAGTCACTCTGGGCAGCTCCCAACATATAACAAAACTTTTTAAAAAATAAATTTTAAACTTCCTTATACAGGTCTGCCTTCAAATGGCTCAGGGGTCAGATATCTTCATACCCTCCAACATTTCTCCAATGAAAATAGGGATGTCCTAAGGAAAAGCATGACATTCTGGGATCAAATCAGAAACTGGTACATTTTCTGTAAATTTGGGACTGTCCCTGGAAAGCACGGATACTTGGAGGTTTGCTAATGCAGTTTTTAGGATAGCACGCTGGAAGTAAAATTAAGTTTTGTAAAGTATATAGAGGGACGCGGGTGGCGCTGTGGGTAAAACCTCAGCGCCTAGGACTTGCCGATCGCATGGTCGGCAGTTCGAATCCCCGCAGCAGGGTGCGCTCCCGTCGTTCGGTCCCAGTGCGTGCCAAACTAGCAGTTCGAAAGCACCCCCGGGTGCAAGTAGATAAATAGGGACCGCTTACCAGCAGGAAGGTAAACGGCGTTCCGTGTGCTGCGCTGGCTCGCCAGAGTAGCTTTGTCACGCTGGCCACGTGACCCGGAAGTGTCTGTGGACAGCGCTGGCTCCCGGCCTATAGAGTGAGATGAGCGCACAACCCTAGAGTCTGGCAAGACTGGCCCGTACGGGCAGGGGTACCTTTACCTTTACCTTTTAAAGTATATAGAATGTCAAAGCTTTTGTAAAACAGATTTAAAACAGGTGACAGTCACTGGCAGCAGGATCTGATCCTTTCACATAGAGGAAATCATAATAATAGCCATTCTAACTACTGGTGTTTTAAGAAGGGCATCTTCACACTTTCAGCTGCTGGGGCAATCATCTAAGCCACGTCAATGCTTCATGAAGCAAACAATATGTAATACACTGATGTATGCACATCTTTAGATAACCAGCAATAAAGATCTGGTCAAAAGCAACTAGGCAGTGACACCCAAGTCTATGGGGAGCACTTAAATCAGGTTTATCCATTACTGTAAATGCGCACAGCTTGCGATGCAGCAGATAGAAGAATCAACCACAGAAAGGTTTACACCACTTCAGGAGCTCCAGTTTGCCAGCAACCGTGTTCTGTAGTAGCTTAATGAGCTTAGTAGTTAATACCATGGGAGCCAAAACACTGTTTATGCAGAACTGTTAAGTAGAGGGAACAGAAACAAAACCTTCTCAGCAAAAAGCTTCTCAGCATAACCATAAATACAGTTAGGGTCTCATCATGGTGGTGGGCAAATAGTCATGAATCTAAATAACCATCTGCTGTATCTCTGGACTTCTTTCCTCAAGCAGACTGTTGTACTAGATAGTCTACAAGAGAAGCCTCCAACTCTATGGTTAAATGAATCTGGGCCACCCACAGTAATCAGAGGCATGTGTAGTGACAGGTTGTAGTGACTCTGAGAACAGGTCTTCAGGGCACACAGTTAATTAGATTAGGCCAAAATGGCAGCTAACTACATGCATGTTTTAGAGACCAAACTGATCATCAGGCTTCAATCTCATCTCACAAGTTTCACACCCTAAATAGCATTTTTTGCAGGCAGACATGTATTCTGTTTTGCACATAAGGAATGACGTATTTAGTAAAATATGATCATCATTATCTCAGTCATGGGAGATTACAAATACAAAAGAGAAGGTTTAACGACCCAGTACAAAAGTGTAATGCTGAAATCACTTGTCTATTCATAGCAAAGCAAGCTTCTGGAACTGGTTTTACAGGATTTGGGTGGAGAAGATTCTGCCTTGAAAGAAATTAATCTTTAAAATTGTACATAGCCTGAAATCAGCTAGTTAAAGATGACAAAATTTTTGATTTGTGTGAATTTGTTTTCCTTCAAACACTCCTGTGCTTCAAATGTAAATTGCTTCTGCACGGTGGAACATTTTGTACAACTTGAAACTTATTTCTTTGTTATTTTGAAGAAAACAAAGCAAAACACCTTCCTTTAAAGATCTGCTACATACTTGCAATAAAGCAGAACTTTTAATCCTTGCCATCCACCCAATTTATTTCATACTTTGTTTTTAAAGACATGTCTGATTTCTGTGTTCCTTCCTATGAAAGGAATGTACTGGTACATTTCCACCACAATGCACATAAGATTAACATGCGTAAAATGCTACTCCTTCCACCATCTTCCACGTGTAAAAATAGATAAAAAGATTAAGCCGTTTTCCTTCCAGGGTGAGTGCACACTAGAGTTATCATTTAAGCAAACAACTACAAATTAGAGAATTGTTTGAACAAACAAGTTTTCAAAACTCTAAAGTTGTGTAGCCTTCAGAAGTTCCATCAGATTATACAGAGGTATGTGAAGCAGGAATGTGGTAGAAGAAGAATAAAACCAGTCCTCAAAACTGAAGTTGGCTGCTGTAAGACCAAACTCACTAGAAGAGTTTGGCCTGTAGCAATTCCCAGTATATATTAAAATCCATGCTTACCTCTTCAAACCATGAATGAAAAGGTCCAGAACCCGGCACCCAGTGGTCTCTGTTACGCAGTTCAGTTTACAGAAGAGCAGGATCGTCCTCCATCTGAGAGTCTTAACAGCTTGGAGGCTTCTCTACCAGAGGCTGACTCATTCAGGGAGGAGAAAGGAGGTGCAGAAGAGGGAGTTCACCTTGCACAAATACCAGTTCAGTTAAAATCCACTGGCATATTTTTGTACTCTAGTCTCTGCTAAATTCTCTCCTGTGATGCAGAGACAGATTGCAACAGACAGCAAAAAACATACAGGTTGCTAACGATAACAATACATTTTTGTTACAAGGTGCCTAATCCCATAAAAAACAACAAGCCAGTTGTCACTGTGAAATACACCTATCACTTTAGTTGGAAGTTGAATGTATATATATTTTTTAAAAAACAAAAAACCCTGCCAAGCATGTGAGGAATCTTCAGGGCCGTAACCTGAGAAATTTACACACTGCAGTCCTATGTCTATTGGCTGAAGAATTTCAGTCGTTTTGCTGAAGCCTTCTTAGAAGCTGGGGTTGTAGGAACTCCAGAAGAAAACTTGCTCTGCTCTGGAAAATCAGGTTTAGCTATTAAGCAATCTGAAGTATAACTAAATAAAAGGGCTACAATTGCTGTTTGTATGGAAACAGATACTTTTATTTATGCACTCGCTCTCCAAGGATGTAATTCTAATTCATGAAGAAGGTGGACACCCCATAGAGGATGTGAGGCAACCAACATATGATGTCAGATTATGCGCTATCATTCAGCATTAAACACCCATGCCAAGAGGTGAGCCAAACAAATATATAGCAAAATAATGATTTAAAAAAAAAAAATCTAAGGCATTCTGGAGCCTGCTGTGAGGTACAGTCATACCTCGGGTTACAGGCGCTTCAGGTTGCGTTTTTTCAGGTTATGGACTGCCAAAACCCGGAAGTACCGGAACGGGTTACTTCCAGGTTTCGGCAGTCGTGCATGCGCAGAAGTGCTAAATCGCATTTTGCACATAAGTGCCGAATAGCAACCCGTGCATGCGCAGATGTGCCGCTGCGGGTTACGAACGCTGCGGGTTGCGAACGTGCATCCCACACGGATCACGTTCGCAACCCGAGCATCCACTGTATTTAATGTTGCATATATCTCTTTTGATTAAAATAAATCCTCAAAGTTACGGCAATTCCTGATTTTTTAATTGTTTTCCGTTAACCTAACATAAGTTAGGGGTTACAGTGAGGGGGGGAAAGTATTTGACCCCCTGCTAAATTTTCCCGTTTGCCCTCTGAGAAAGAAATGACCAGTCCATAATTTTAATGGTAGGTTTATTGTAGCTGTGAGAGACAGAATAAGAACAGGAAAAACCCCTGTTTACTTTTTTCTGCCATGACTGTTCTCAAAACAATTACTTCAGTTCAACCAACTTCAATGTCAGAGGTACCAACTCTTATTTCTTTCCCTCTGGAGAGCTCGGTACTGGAAAATTTCACTTCCAAGCCCACCAGCTATGTCTCACTAACTCCCAAAATTTACAGAAAACAATTCAAAAACTATATATGCACAAGGTTAGAAATATCTCACCCAGGAAAGAAGCAAGGAAAAAGGAAAAAGAAGAAAAAGAAGAAGGAATTTGACTGTTAAATAGCTTTAGCATCTAACTCTCTTTCTGCATTGGAGACCTGTTCTGGCATCTACAAATAATAGTGGCTATCTCTGTTTTGGTGGTAACGCGGGTGGCACTGTGGGTTAAACCACAGAGCCTAGGGCTTGCCGATCAGTAGGTTGGCTGTTCGAATCCCCGCGATGGGGTGAGCTCCCGTTGCTCAGTCCCTGCTCCTGCCCACCTAGCAGTTCGAAAGCACGTCAAAGTTCAAGTAGATCAATAGGTACCACTCCGGCAGGAAGGTAAATGGCGTTTCCGTGCGCTGCTCTGGTTCGCCAGAAGCAACTTAGTCATGCTGGCCACATGACCCGGAAGCTGTACGCTGGCTCCCTCGGCCAATAAAGCGAGATGAGCGCCGCAACCCCAGAGTCGGTCACGACTGGACCTAATGGTCAGGGGTCCCTTTACCTTTACCTTATCTCTGTTTTGGTAGCCTTAGTATATGTTGTAACTAAGTAGTGGCATGAGGTGCTGAATATAGCAAAATGAATCAGAAATTCTAGGCGATCTACTGCAAATCAGTCTGAGATCTACCAGTCAGTAGATCCAAATCCAAGTCCAACCAGGGGGCATTGGACAAAGTGGACTTCAATATGAGAAATATTTGTTTTTACCCATGAAACTCAAAGTTGGGCAAGCCACATTGGCAGCATAACCTCCTTCACAAGGTGGTTATAAGCAGGTTTAATTGGAGGGGGGGGGAATGGCAGGATACAAAAGTGATTGATACACACTCTCTGAGCCTATTCCTGGAAGGGAGGCTGCAAGCTATTAATAGAACTGCAAATGCAAGAGTGAATTATATGAACCTAGAACGTGTATATCTTGTTCCCAAGGCTTTGTGCTTATCTTGAGGAGAAATACGCTCGTCTTTAAGTTTCAGGTACGCAGCAACAGCATGAACTGAGCCACACCTTAATCCATACAAGAGAGAACACTGCAAGAGTGGCCACAGGTTGGCAAACACATACTTCAGATGCCAAGAGAGCCTTCAGTGACAGCGAAAAGGCTCCTGGCGATACATTTTATTCCCACAAGTCTCAGCAAAGTTCACATGCCGAAGGCAGGAGGAGAATTAATGAGATTGGCTGGAAATGCCATGAATACTCACGGCACCCTAAACATCAGCCTATTCACTGCAATTTTACAGGGGCTCTTGTTTCAAACACTGTTGGACTTAGTAGGGGCTGAGATGGTAGGAGTCTTTGGGTCCATATAGGAATTAGGGTCTCTCTTCGTGGGTACATTAGCAATGGTGGTGCCTAGGAACATTGACCTTACAGAATGCCACCGCCTTTGCTTTCCAAAGAGTAAAAAGGACAAACCAACTAGACATTTATGCATTTGCTGACATTTGTGTCTTTACTCAGAACACAAAGGTTAAATGAGTAAGCGTGACTATACTTCCCAAACATATGTTTATGTATTTTATAGTGCACGTTGTTGTCATGGACAATTAGTAACTGGGATTAATTAACAAGTACCACTGCACAATTTTTGCCAAAATGCATAGAATGACAACCAGCATGTCTTCTGAAAGGAGGAGTTTACTTCAGGAGTGAATCAGGATTCCCAAGCTAAGTTGGCCCATATCCTTAGTTTGCATTGGTGCTTATCATCACACAGGCAAACACAAGCACATCCCAGTAGAAAAGCATATATTGCAAAACAAAACAAACAAAAATGTGCAGGCAACCAGTCTACATAAACAGTAGATCATGTATTACAACTGTTTCTGCTCTACACCAGTTTAGACTGCAGATGGGGTAAGCCACATGCATTAATTGTTCACACCACACACAAAAATTCAGTTCCTTTTCACTGAAGAACAGCATGCTGGACTGAAAATAGCATGATGTCTAACTGTTTATGGCCATGCAGATTTTTACATGGTATAGCTTTCTATAATGCAATTTCTTACCTAAAATTTTGAAGTGGAACAGTCCAGGAACCATTTTACCAAGTGACATGATAACTGTGAAAATATTCCTGTTAGGTTGATTTTATGCGGGTGGCACTGTGAGTTAAACAACAGAGCCTAGGACTTGCCGATCAGAAGGTTGGCGGTTCGAATCCCCACGAGAGGGTGAGCTCCCGTTGCTCGGTTCCAGCTCCTGCCAACCTAGCAGTTTGAAAGCACGTCAAAGTGCAAGTAGATAAATAGGTACCGCTCCGGCGGGAAGGTAAATGGCATTTCCGTGTGCTGCTCTGGTTCACCAGAAGCGGGTTAGTCATGCTGGCCACATGACCCGGAAGCTCCCTCGGCCAATAAAGTGAGATGAGCGCTGCAACCCCAGAGTCGGTCATGACTGGACCTAATGGTCAGGGGTCCCTTTACCTTTACCTTTAAGTGCTACTGAGATCAACAAAACCTACTTCCAGGCTGAAGCCCACAGTATCTGAAGTATTTTATTTCTACTGAATCTTTTTTTATCATGGCTATAGCTCTCCCTGGGATGATACTGCAGATACTACAGAGCCAGCTGTTGATCTGCAGCCTTTAACCAGCCTGTGTATTGGCTTAATTCCTTGAGGGAAGAGACTTGAAAAAACACTGATAGATTATCCAGAGCAGGGATAAGGAAGAAATTTGATTCAGTTTGTATTTAAAGGCAAATCTTATCAAGTCTACAGTATGAGAACCAAAAAGACCAACAACAGCTATACTTTGAAATGTGGCACTTATCTGAATTTTGTGATGCATTTCTCCAAAATAACATATTAGGGGAAAGTGTGCATAAAATTAATATGTTAGGTCTAATTGTTCCAGGTCACTTAGCAACCCAGAAGTTTTTAGATGGATAAGAGAATGCCACCTCATCTGCACTGGCCTCTGCAGTCTGGTTGGCCTCTCTGTAGTTCTCTTTAGTCAAAGAATAACCGGATTTAGGGTGGTGCAGGTGGTTCCCCTGCACAGGGCACGGAGCCGAGGGATGTAAAATTGAGAAGATCCAATATGGAGAAGATCCACATGAGGGCACCAAATCTTGGCCTTGCACAGGGTGCCATATTGCAAAAGATTACCAAAGTCTGTCCCTGGTCAAGCCTACTTGGTGGCAGCACACAGATTGCATTCCTGCCTGACTTTCTTCAGGTCACCAGTTCAAGGATGCTGGGCAAATGTCCTGGAATTGCCTTGAAATGGAGCAGAACCACATATACGTTCTCAATGGACTATAACCTGCCAACCTTCATAGAGCGCATGGGGAGTGAACAAGTCTGGGCAAACATCCCAGGTTGTTGTAGAGTTCTCCACACTCCATAGGCATCTTTCCATTTATACGTTTATACATAAACTACAAAGATGGGTCTAGTTCAAAGCCCTCTTCACAGGTTAGCCTCCATGCATAGGCTATATATGGGGTGGTTGTCAGAGCAAGACTGTGCCACATGGCCTAATGGTTCTGCCCATGGACCACTGTCCCTGCCCAATAAGTCCCACAGGTTGTTCCAAATGTCTGAAAAGAAAGCCCACACACATTCAGCTGAACACAAGAGGCTTCCATGCAAACAGGCACATTGCACAATAAGCGTTCCAGCTCCAACACTGTGCATTCATCCTCCCTGCAGAACCTCACTTGCAAAGAGAGCTCTTGTCTTGGTCCAGCCTGAAGGAGGTTCTGGCCATATGAAAAGATATTTAACCTTCATTTTTTAAGTAAGAAAATCCCAGAGTTCTTAATCTTAACTGGAAAGCGCTTAGATTGGAAGATGAGAAAAATCTCAGCCGGTGAACTGTAATGAAACTTAAATAACATGACTGACTTGGGTGTGTATTTAAATTACTGACAACATG